CAAACACTGTTACCATTGCATCAATGATTCCGTTAAGATATATGTTATTTAGCAAAATAATCGTTATATTCGATGATTCCTTTGCTGCTGCTAGGCGTTATGCTCTAGAATTGGTCTCAGTAAGATATATATTAATAGTTTTAAACAAAGAGTATTTTTATATGAAGGAGAAATACTGAACTTCTTTCATTAACAGGAGCTTTGATGACGGATTTCCAAATCTTTACATAAACAACGCACATGATATCCGAGGTCAACATGTTGCTTTTCTTGCATCCTTCAGCTCCCCAGCTGTTATCTTTGAACAGCTTTCCGTCATATATAATCTTCCCCGATTGTTTGTTGCTTCCTTCACTTTGTTGTTTCCGTTCTTTCCAACTGGCTTCTTTGAAAGAATGGAAGAAGAAGGAGATGTAGCAACTGCATTTACCATGGCAAGGATTTTGTCAAACATTCCCATATCTAGGGGTGGGCCTACATGCTTAGTCATTTACGATATCCATGCTCTTCAGGTTTGTTATTCTTCTGCAATGAAAATGATTAACATGTATTTTCCTTTGTTACAATATTTATATATTTATTGCTAAAGTGGTTTATCAGATTCATCTTAAACCAGTAACTTCTGTTGCTCTTATTGTACGAAGCATGATATGAAAATATTTTTGCTTCAAAAACTTTAAAATGTCTTTACGTTTTAGACAATGCCCTGCTGGAATCGAGAACAGCAGTTTTAGCATTTTTTCATTAAGATGCTTGTTCTTGCTGTTTTCATTTGTTGCGGATGTGTCTCATGGAACAAAGCTTGGGAGACTCGAACCTAAATAGTCTGAGCAGGTGAAGAGAAAAAGGTTATATGCAAATCTGCATGCATTAGTATGGCAAATGTGTAGAGTTACATTTTCCCAATAATGTCCAATATGAGGTGATAAGTCCGGAAACGTAAGACTTTGATCCACATGCAATACTGCAACCACTAGTGATCAAATATTCAGATTGTTGAATTTGGTATTTTAATCTCTGACCTATTTGGAAAATTCTGAGCACAAACTAAACGACTGTTAACATTAATGTTATCAGCAACGGGGTTCATTGTTGGCCATGGATTGGTGATTGATTCCAAGTTGTCTTACATTAAATAAAAATCTGTGTTCATGCATTTTAATTTGGATCCAATGTGAAAAAAATGTTCACCTATATATATGATTTATTTTTGTCATTCATGAGTTGAGAGACGGAGTTACCGTTGGCAACTGATTATATAGTTTTCTCACCGACACATTGGTTTTAGGAACATTGAGGATTCTTTTGTTTCATCTCATGGTTTGCCTTGTTCCACATCAAAGCAACACCAAAGGTCAGACTTGTGTTCTTGTTCGGTTTACAGCTTTAGGGTTAGGAGCATGAAATATTCCATTTTGTTTTACGGTGCTGGTTTACTGGTTTATCAATTTTGTTACAATATTTATGCCCCTAAACAACTTGTTTTGGTTAACATGTGTCTTTTATTAGGAGATTTGATCTTTATTTGTTAAGTTTCCTTTTAATACAGGAAAGATTTTATTTCGGGGACCATGTGTTGCCGTTATTTGAGACTGGGATTTCTCTTCTTAAACAACGTCTTCATCAGCTTCCTGATGCTGATAAAGTAAGTATATCATCTTGAAATGTTGTCTGGCGCAAAATATATTTTCTTTATCATCATGCTGCTCATTACTGCCATCTTCTACACGATTTTTCCGAACTTAATGCCATTAACGTTTCTTAGGAATGGTCGCTTATTGTAGGTTGTTACACCTCCTTGAATTGAATTCAATTTGTTTTTCAGATAGTCGTTGCATTTCTGGATGATGGAATGGTTTCACAAACTATTGGATCATTTTCCAACGGTCGGTTTCGAATCTTACGTATTAAGTTGCATTATATTTTGTTCCAGTCTATTATATGTAGATTGAAAGTACATGGCAATTGATTGGCAGGTTATCTGCACAAATCGCGAGGGTGACAAGAGGATAGTTCGACTCAAGGAGGGCAATCCTGCCGATTGTCATGTGGTGATCGTCGATGACTTAGTGCAATCTGGGGGCACTCTCATCGAGCGCCAGGTACTTATATTCCAATAACCTCTTCATCGAGGGCCTCAACATTCGGAGGTAACACGATCACATTAATATATATCGAGAATTTTTGTCCAACAATGGACTTGAGATAATATGTGCCTGATTTGTTGGTTCATGGAACTTGGTTCTTCCTGCAGAAAGTTCTGTTAGCTCATGGAGCGGCAAAGGTGAGTGCGTATGTCACTCATGGCGTTTTCCCAAAGTGTTCCTGGGAGCGATTTACGCGAAAGAACGACGGTAAGTACTTGCCGGTGCTCATGTCGTGTCTCGGATTCGACTTTTGTGGGTGTTGATTGGCATTTGATTCTTCAATATTGCAGAGAAGGGATTTGCCTACTTTTGGATGACAGATTCTTGCCCCCACACGGTGAAAGCCATTGAAAACAGAGCTCCTTTTGAAGTTCTAAGTCTTGCGGAATCAATAGCAGATGCTCTGCAAATTTAAAGCCAAATTCCAGGAGTCTTCATATGGACCACTCCTGTTATTTTAATAAAAAGGACTGGTTTAGATATTATCACAACATATATTATATTTACTCTTCAATGCATCTTCTCTAAAATGAAAGGATATAAATGCATGAATCAAGTTACCTCGAGTTGTTAAGGAATCTATCGATATATTTTGAGGTCTTAGATTTGAACAATAAGGGTGTGAGTGTTTATTGTCAAATGGTTAACGGTCTTTGAATATTCATTATCTTATGTTCACCTCAGATGTATAAAAAAATAAAAAATAAAAAATAAAAAAATTGAAAGGATATAAATATTATTTAACATGAAAATGTTTCATCTTAATTGAAATTACTGTTTCTCTTTTCTAAAATAGTTGGTGATAAAATATATTTATTTTAGTACATAAAAATTCAGGTCAGGAGTGACTCCTCAAATCCAAGGACAATGCATACTTAAAACCCAATTAGGATTTACATACAAATTTATTGATTGTCCATCAAAAGTGACAATAATAAGATTCAAACTTTGCCTTACAAAGTAGGGATGGGCATGGGACCCTACCTCGATCGGGTTGGATTTTTTTTTAAAAAAAATCGGGTTGGGTCGGATTAAAAAAATAATTTTACCTTATATATTTATAAATTATTACAATAATACCTATTTATATATTATTTTTTCAATTAAATCATTGTTTTATTGAATAAAAATAATATTTTTAATTATTTCGGGTAGGGTCGGGTTTAGATTTTATTTCAAAAAGTCAGGTCGGGTTCAGGTCCGGTTGAGGGTATATATTATGCGAGTCAGGTCGGATTTTGGGTGGAGGACAGGTCGGGTCGGGTGGACCAAAAATCCGACCTAACCTGACCCATGCCCATCCCTACTTACAAACTCAAATTCTTGAATATCAACCACTTGTATTAACACTCATTGACATTGGTAATAAAATATGGCTTATCATAAAGTTATTGGTCTAATTTTAACTTGTAAATTTAGATTGTGTTTGATAACTTAAAAGTTTTTTTAATTTAAAGTTAGATATAAATAAATTATTTGATGCATTAAAAAATTATTTGATAAATGTAGAATTTTAAAAATAAAATAAAAAAGTTTGAAAATATTCTTCAAAAAATGCCTGTTCTATCATATTTGACATTTTTATTGAAAATTATAATTGATAGTTTTAATCTTAAAATATTAAACTATTAAAGTCATTAATTTTCAATAAGTTAATTTTTTTAGTAAGTTATCAAATAATACTTAATTAGAAAAATACATAAAACTCGAACTATAAAATACGTAAAATAAACAATAATAATTTATCCATTTACCAACATACTCATCTTTATTATCTTAATCTTAAATATTAAATATAAAAATCTAATTTTAAAGGCTTAACGGTCATCTTTGCCACATCAATTTAATACTCAAAGTTGTTTAATTACAACATTCTATACCTTAACCCTAACTTAAAATCCTAATTTGATAATTATAAACCCTAAACTATAACTCCATAATCTCTAAACCTTAAACTCTAAACCTTAATCTCTAACTTAAAACTCTCAATTTAGGGTTTTAAGCGAGGGTTAGGGTATAGAATGATGCAATTGAGTAATTTCGACTAAATTGATGTGAAAATACGATAAGAGCAAAAATGATAAACTGAGTCTATTAAATGGATAAAAGTTACCATTTAAAATCTAATATTAAATCTTAAATCATAAATAAGGCACGTGTCATTAAAATAAATAAACTTATGTGAACTTTATCATTTTATATATCACATAATTTTCGTTAAATATATCCATATGCATAACGCTACTAAAGATCATATATTTGAATGACATAATTTCACAAAAGATTAAACTTGATAAATTCTGTGATGACTTACGAAAAAGTTTTTGTGTGTGATATACGAGTATTTATCTATTTATATGATCGTGTATGAAGAAAGATTATCTGGATATCCGAAATATAAATGGCTTGATACTTAACGATTCTAGGTCCTTACACCTTATATATATCCTACGTGGAATTAGTATCTTATGCTTAATGATTCTAGGTATAATTATCATTTAAATTGATTATGATTTTATTGTTTACCTCTATTAATGACTTTATATTATTTACCATATCAAATACAATCAAATCTTTATATTAGCAATTATATATCGCTTGTCAAGAAATAGATTTATAAAATCTTTGACATAACATCGGCAAGGGTCCATAGCTCAGTGGTAGAGCATTTGACTGCAGATCAAGAAGTCACTGGTTCGAACCCGGTTGGGCCCTTTCTTTAATTTAATTTATATTTTTGTTTTTTTATTATAAAACGTTTAACCATATGTTGCACATTATGATCATCAATTTAATATAAATCAAAACATATGCTTGCCCCATTGTGGCATGACATAAAACCAGAAGACAGGCATTGGACATATCTGCAAATACATAAATATTTTGACAAAAACAAAGTTCATTACATCCTACACAGTTTATGAACAATCATGTACCCTTCAGGAATTCCCCAACAAAGATTTACATACAAACAAGTTACCATACTTCCATATCGACATCAATGACCGAAAACATCTAACGCTTTTTTTAGAAAATAGAACCCAGAGGAGACCTAAGCACAGGTCGAAACGTAACTCCACCCCGTTGCAAACAGACTTCAACACTCAGCAACATATTTCAACCTTATTCTTCCACCCTTGCTCCAGTAACAATTTCTTTCTCTACTTACAAACAACATTTTCTGCCTCATGTAATTTTTAACTTCTCTAGTGAATTACCACGTAGTGTCCGATAAAGCAAACACTGCACATGACACAAGCTTTAAAGATATACTTGTGTTTTAATTTGTCTTCCAACTTTATACACTTAAAAAAGAGACGCTTATCAACTTGTTAGCATCCTTAGTCCTTTTTAAAGCTAAGGGTAAGTTATCCGAATTTACTGTCAACTCTTCTCTGGCTTCGCTCTCCAATGAATCCCCAGAATAAGAGCCATCTGGTTGACGAATACAGATGTTCAAATCGCTAGAGAGGAAATGTTCCTGCACCACCACAAACTTATAAGTAATAAAAATTTCCTAGCTTATAAAATATTTGTACTCGATCATTCTTTGACTCTACCAAAGTGAATATCCGAATGATTAGTCTGTAGTAATCAAATACTAAGATTGATATATATAATCTATTGTTGGCAAGGAATTTCAGAGTTAAATGAGGATAAATGTGAGTAAATGCCCTCCAACTCGTATTAAAAACTTGGCTACCTGATCACCAGTCTCTTGGCCCTCTGAAGGGAACAGAATAGGCTGGCATCTCTTGTCTTCATTCATCAAGCTCGAATTTTGGAAATGTGCCACAAGGGCAGCCTTGCCCTGGATTCGAGCATAAGCCAATGATGGCACCTTTTCACTGTTGAACTTCTCCCATTTCTTTCCATTAAAAGCCTGCACAAATTTCCATATAATTATATCCTTCTCTTCCAAGAAGATACATTCACAGACGCCTAAAACTCTGAGATCTTGCTATTGCATGGATTTGTTCCAGTATATAAATAATCCCCTTAAAACCAGAAAATAGCTCATAGTACCATTCAATATAAAAAAAACAACTAATTTATCGTTATGTATACACACAATCTCTTATTATACGATGTTAAAAAATACTATCATTGATTGATAATATGTACTCTTTCTCGACACACTTAACTATGAACCAAAGGTCGAACCTGGTAGAAGGAGACAATATGTGAAGGGGAGATCATATTGATGAAGGCATAACCTACATTGCACTTGTTCTGCGATCAAAAAAGTCAATTAATAATCACCAATATTTCAACTTGACCAAATCATACAACATGTCAAAGACTACGCCTAGCACAAATGTACCTTGAAATCAATTGGCAAATAGAGAAAATTGTAAGTGCCTCGGTGATTTTCATCAATGGCAGCAAGCAGCATCTTTGAGGTATACCTAAAGAAATATAATAAAAGCAGAAACCATCAAGAAAAGAAAAACAGCATTTTTCTTGGAACCCAAAGCATTAAGTTCTTCACCATTCATTAACTTGTCTTACTTGTTGGGGATATTTTTAATCATTAAAGTGGTCCTAGTATCTTCTCCGCTTATTATTTTATCCAAATCAAGTTGATACTGCTTCTTGTTATCAATCTGGTTTCCGTTATTTTCAACTAGCCGACTTCGACTGCGATCAGCCAACCCTTCATTGCCAGCCATACCTTGACCAGGATAAGAACCATTCCCAAAGAAAATAGGACCATGCCTCGGCATTGACATCATTCTGAAATTAGGTGAACCATTTTCAGTTACATTCCCTAGGTGACCAACACCAGCATTGATAGTTCCACGGGTACCAATATTCATAAAAAAGCTGCCATTGCTACGATTTAAACCCGCACCAGCAAAAGGAACAGGATTCATAAAAGATGTTTCAGGTGACTCTGAGAGAGAGTTAAAGTGCCTATCAAAATGCATGCCAGAAGGAGCAGATCCCACATGATGATGGTTGCTTGAACCAAGAAATGAGCCATGTCGACTTGTATATGGAAAACCTTGTCCACTTGATGAAAAAGGGTGCGTCACTGATTGTGTTGGCCAATCAGAACTAGCACGCTCATAGAAAGGAGTGGGACTTCCCCATAGAAACTGAGGACCGGTCAATGTTCCAGTACCAGATGAACTCGAATTAGATTCACTGAAGGCAGAAATTGGTCCAGGGCTTGCACTTGCCTTTTGCTCAGAAAAGTATCTAGAATGCTGGTAGGATGCTCCTTGCACTGCCCCAGTATTAGTAAAATTTTGGTTTGCATTATTGGTCTTGCCTAGATCCTTACCAATAGGTGCAATCTTCAGAGAGTTAGGCACATGATGAGGGAGAATTGAAGCTAGTCCAGTCAAATTATTGTTACTTACAGGGCTGAAAGATCCCAAACCAGGAGACTTACTAAAAGCATGCAAAGGATTTTGTTCAACAGGACTGCCAAAGTGTGCCCAATTACCTGTCACAGCAACGCTTTACTCAGAATATTATCGAAAATCAGGTTGTATGAAGTATAAAGTTGTTGAGTACACACAAATGCAGAGCACCTAAGATATTTACCTGGAGGAGAGTTAGCAACCGGAGAACCTATGTGATGCGTAAAACTTTGTGCTTCGTCGTGTTCCAGCTCCTGAGTTAGCTGCTGCATCAAGCTAACAAAGGAGGGGCATTAATTTTAATTTCTTCATACAAGTATAAAAATACACCTATCAACCATGAGGAAAGTGCAATTAAAAGTTTCGAAGATAGCATATTTCCTTTTTGGGCTGTTAAAGAAATCAGACTCAAAAATGTTTCAGATGCCCGAGAAAATGAATGCACAAAGTTCCGAAAAGCATAGAAAGTGTTAATGGGGATTTTTCTATCTAGGCAGGTGTTAATGAGAAATTTAGTTGGCTGAAACAAGAAAAACCAATTTAGCATGTTGCCAAGTTCCTAGTTGCCAGAAGCAGTAAGCAGTCTAAGGAAGAGAATCTGAGTTAGTATCTAGGACAACAAAACAACTGCTCCCACTTTCTACATAAATTTTCAAGTACTGGCAATTCCTGCTCGTGGTGACTAATCTATGACAATTGACCATCTTACCTATTCCCTTTTTTGGTTGTTAACAACACAGAAAGCTAGTATCTTTATTCCTAACTCCTAAACCTTCACATTCATTCCAAATCTCTCCTGCACCATAATAGCATTGATGCCTCATATTAAGTTTTTCAGAAATCGTATCCTCCCAAAGATTATCATACAGAAACATCTACCACATATCAGATGATAAAAAGAAGTTAAGATTAACACTTACTTTCGACGAGCTCCACCAGGACGACTAGGTTCAAGCTTTATGCGTTTCCCAGCTATGTCACTCCAATTCAATGCTCTAAGAGCTTCCTCTGCAGCTCTAACATCATAAAATTCTATGAATTTATGGTGTCGCTTGTGTGGTGTTTCCCTGATCTGTATTCACACAACCAAAGTAGTCATCAGCAAGTCCCGAAGACAAGTCATAACGGGGAATAGAAGTGGAAGAAGAACAAATTAGGCAAAAATATACCTCTTTGACCTCTCCATAAGCCCCAAATATTTGGCGAAGGTCATCATTTGATACGGATGGATCCAAGTTGAATACTACAAGGGTTCCCTGATTTATATCTTTCTCTGATGGGTTATCCTAGAACATTACAAGAAAAAGAATGCTTCAAAATTTGTTGAAGGGATCATCAACGTCAAACTCAAACATATAACAAAATAAACCTATTCCAAACCTTGGGAATTGAGAAGTGAATATCCAGCTTTCTTCGCCTCAGTGGCTTATTTTGTAATGCACGCATTGCAGTCCGTGCAGCTCGAATATCATAGTATGAAATCATTACAAAGCCCCTATGCTTGCATGCAGTATACAAAGTTCTTATATCTCCATATTGCTGCAAGATGTTGGAATTTCAAGATGATAATTATTAGCCTAGTATAAACAACATTAAAACTCTTATTTGCACATAAATAAAGAAAAAAAAGACCAAAGAAGGTTCAAAAGACCAAGAAATAAAACCTTTATCAGCAAAGAGAACTATTAGGCAGAATACTAACTAAAGTAAATTAGAACAGACAACTATAGAATACCTCAAAGAGAGATCTCAATTCAGAGTCTTCAACGTTACTATTGATATTTCGTACAAACAATGTTCTTGAAGGATGCTCTCCATAGGGATGTTCCCCAGCCACCGTTCCCACACCATTTGGAAGAGGATAATGACCAATCCCATTTGCAAGTACCCCTTCAGAGAGGTTCATCTTTGATAGCCCAATACTAAGGCTCTCTTGAGGTTCAAAGTCCAATTCCATTCCCCCTCCAGTACCAAAGACATCATACTCCTCCAAGTTCTCCAACTGACTAGGCAACTCACTTAGGTCGAAGTCATCCATAACGCCAGCAAGGAGGTCATCTTCATCACTAGGAAGCAAACTTCCAATTGCATTTGTTTCAACATCTTCGAGTAGGTCCTTTCCATCATTCTTAAGTTCTAGCTTACATAACTCAGGCGATTTATCATCAACAGAATGACCAGAATGCTCCACATCAGCAAAGTTCACTGCATTTTAGCAAAAGATTACCTCAGTCTTATTCCAAGTATATCACAATATAGTATATACAACATTTTCATATCAGGAGAGTCATAATTATTTTTTAAACTTAATTGAAAAACAACTAAGTTTAAAAAAAATTATGACTAGTAGATAACTCGTACATTTTTCATGGGGAAGTACAGGTAAAGAACTAGAAAATAAGCATGCATCACTTGATGAATGATATGCCACGGTTTTATGTGGGATTCCCCATGCACCAGTTTCCCACTTTCTAGAAATGTTGACTGAAGGAGTATTGGATGAACCTATAATACAAGAATTAAAAAAAAACATCTCTTGAGAATAGATGAATAAGATCACATGCATTTGTATCCTAGATTTAATCAGATGATTAAAGTGAAGTTATACCTTCAGATTGACTTGGTACAACACAGTTTGACCTTTGCTCCATTCAAACTTTCTGCATGCAACGAATTATAGGGATCAACTATTAAAATATGATATTGCAGACAAATTCAGCATATACAACACAACATAGATTATGTGAAACCTTAGAATAGCATAGCATAGCATATTGCAAAGCATTCACTAAATTTTAAAATTCATATTGAATTCCAATACATACAGCAGTTCCTGAACAATTCAAGTAAACTGGCAGTCAAAATACTGTGCAAAAGTCAAATCAAATGAAACTTTTTATTCCAGTTTCATAATCATTTCGCTACCCTTAAACTACAATATTCCCAATCAGTTCTTGATCACACGGCTTTGATAGTAAATACTGGTTACAAGAATTCACTTTTGAGTTGTCAGTATTGCAATGATTATCTACAGATAACATAAGTCCAAATAAAGCAAGCAAAATTGTCAAGATCAAACAGAAAACTAAAAAATTATCTACAGTATAAGCTCTGAACAGCTGATAACTATGATAAAATAACAAGAGTAGATCATTGCACCAATAAGTCAACACCCAAAACACGATATCATGTCAATTAAATGAAAAAAAATCATCAAACTCCAGCTGCCAACAAAAACGTCACTTATTAACAAAGTCAAAAGAATTATAAGGTGAGAAACAAAGTTAGCTCTTTTGAGCACTTCCCAGAAAAAATTATCTCAAAAGTCACTCCCTACTTTGTTTTTTCGGATATTTAATCAAAACTAGAATTAAATAAACAAGTACCCACCTAAAATTAAAGAAGAAAAAATTTGCCTTTTTACATGAAAAAGGAATGTACAATAAAGTAGTTAAAGAGAATGCATTGAAGAAATAAACTGAAGTGTCCTGATTCCAGATAAAGTTTGTCTTTGATGACCCTACATATATATATACACACACACACACAAAACAAAGGGTAGAACAAGGAGGGGGGAAAACTTGACGAAAGAAAGAGAGTTTCGTAAAAGCAGAGATATTTCTTCCTTATACACTTCTACTTCCTTTTCTCTCGCCGGGAAACTAGAAAAAATAATAATAAATAAAAACGATCCTTTTAAAAACGATAAACAGAGAATTAAAAGTAGCGTATTAAAGAGAAAGTGAGTGAAAAACACATAATTGGACGAGAGAAAATGAAGGGGGGGGGAAACCACAGCTTTCTCCAAGGCACTCTCTCTTCTTCTGTCTTTGAAAAAAGAAAAAGAAAAAGAAAAAAAAAGATTCTGCTGAATTTTAATTTTGTTTGGCGTCCGTTTACACACGTATAGCCCACACAAGACACAAACAAAGACATAATTATTGGTATTTCAAAAAAAAAAAAAAAGACATAATTATTGGGTTACCCTTTCTATTCCCACTTTCTTACAAATTTGCCGTGGGTTTTGCTTCCGTGACGTCCGGTTGTTAATGAAGGATCATTGGGGTAAAAAAATGTTAAAAATAAATGTTTAAATTATATTTAAAGTTTAATTTTGGATGTCTTAAAAATAGATATTTAGTATTTTTAATGTTATATTTTTAGGTACTTAGACCGTTAACTTAATTAAGTGACACGGGTTAGACATATAAAATTTTAATTTTTTAAATAAAAGTTTTAAATTTTTATAAACTTGACATGTGTCACTTAATGACCGAATTTAACGATAGACACCTAAAAGTGTAACGTTGGAAATGTTATGCACCTATTTTAACGAAAAATTCTTTAGACACCTAAAGTTAACTTTGAGTATAGTTTGGGAACTTATTTTTACATTAACCCTAAAAAAGTTAGCATTTTGTAGTATGTATGTATAGAAGTGAGAAAAACTCGATTAGAAAAACCAATTATTTTATTGGACTAAAAAAATTCTACTCGAATTAACTTCGATTATAATTTCATAGACTCAACTCGAAAAATTTTCAAGTTCAAACTGAGTTATAAAATACAACTCGAATAACTCGAAACTTTTAGTAATTAGTGGATTGATTTTCAAGTTTGAGTTGAGTCTTTCGACTATGTATGCTATATGTATCACATATGGAAAAAAATGAAGAAATATATATGTATTGTTTATGGTTATAAAAAAACATTTAAATTGAAATCAAATAATGTCAAAATATTGTAAATATTTACAATTAAATTTAAACAAAAACTCGAAAACTCGACTCGACTTGACCCGAAAAAAATTTCAAGTCAAGTTAGTTATAAAACAAAACATGTCAACTCGAATAACTCAAAATCTTTTGACTCGACTTGACTCAACTCGACTCAACTCAATTGAACGATCATCTGTATACCATTTTAAGAGGCTAAATATTAAAATGATATGCCTATTTTATTATTTATAAAAAATAATATCATCCTGTTGATGGGATCAAATAGGATGTGACGGTTATAAGTTATTTATATATTTTAATTTGGGTAGAGAATCATAGTCGATAATATACCGATCGTTGTTTCGTGTCAAGGTATTTTGTCTCCTTAAAGAAAGGAGAAGATATAAATAAGTATGATGCGGTTTTATCTAGGTCGCATACCGTCTCTCAATCTTGCTTGAGAATATTTATAATAGCCATTAATACCTGTGTGAATCATAGAGTCATCATGACTATTCGTAAGCTAGCATGCTATGTGAATACGGTTAGATGGCGATAAATTTAACTCTAATAGATTACGTAATTATGTTAAACTTCATGTCAATAAGTTATGACTTCTCTATAGATGTTAGATATATGAGATTTCTCTGTTGGGGATGTTCTTATTATGTCTTTTGGAGCTCCCTATGTGTAAGAGATTCAGAGATGTTTTTGAGTTCTCTAGAGACTATGAGGCACCAGAATTGTATGTGCGAAGAACCTTTGGCAGGATACAATATTTGTCCACACTTAATTGAGGGAAAGACATCGTTGAATCATTGGATGTCCCTTGTTCCCATATGTAATGAGGTAAGGGGAGGTAAGATAGTAGGCTGCCCCCAACACTAGGTTGAGAGCAGCTTCCGTAGGAGACCTCCAAATTATGAAATGCCCTCCATAGGACTTGATCCCACGACTTCAAGGTTAAGAACCTTGGCATTTATTACTCTGTAGACACTAATTTTTTCCATTTTTAAATTTATTATTATTATTATTATTATATATTATTATTAAAATTATATTACAAGCCCAGATCCCAGGAGCCCATTTACATATCAGAACCCAGGCCCAGTTTACAAGCCCAACCTGGTCCAGGCCCAAGACTGACCCAAACCCTTTTAGGGTTTGTATCATCTCTGTTAGGGTTTCTAAACCCTAACCCCAACCACCACCTCAAGCTTCCGGAAGCCCGCCGCCGCTCGTTTCCTACGCTCCCACTGCCAGGTGACCCAACCTGCTACAGCCACGCCACCGCCGCCTCAGGAAGATGTTGCCACGACGCCCTCCACACGTCAAGCTCTATGGTGAGTCACCACCATAGCTATGGTGACTCACCGAAGAGCCCCTTTTGGACTGGTCCGAGCAGAACACCAGTGAAGGCTATAAAGCCATCACCAAACCTGCGAGAAAAAGGAGAAGAGAGCAACAAAAGACAGAGAGGAACAACCACCGGGAGACACCAACAGAGAGCAAATAAAAAAAGAGAGAGACCAACAGTAAGCACAACCACGACAACAGCAACTACAAGACAGCAAACCAAAGGAAAAAAAAGATCAAGAGAACTTACCCCAACCGTCAGAATCTCCATTTTCGAGAGTCGAATCGCCGAAGTTACCACCTCAGATCTAGGACGATCGGAGAGTTTTTAAGGTAAACAACTATCGGTTTCGGCTTTAGGGGAAGCTAAGCTTTGATTTAGGCTATTTTCCAAGTTCCGGTGGTGCTATTGTCGGCGGCTGGCTCTCTCTCTCTGGGGAGAAAGTCTAGAGAGAAGAGGGAGGGTTCTCTCTAAGAGAAGAAATGAAGCAAAATAGCCCTTGAGGCCGGTTTAAAAGGGTATAAATACCCTCACCAAAACGACGCCGTTTTGGTGAGGGATATCCTTGTAATTTCACACATAGGTCAAACCATACGCGCAGACCCTCTATGTTTGTATCTTTACAATTTGATCATTAAAATCAATTTTCATATGTTTTAATTATATTTTTAAATATTTCTTTATTATAATTTAGTCACCGTATATCTATGTCTAAATATTTAGGGTAAATATCTATTTAGTCCCTTTAATTTAATTAATTTTTATTTTAATCCCAAATTAATTAATATTGGTTAAATCACACTGTTAATACTTATATTTTTGTGATAATTCGAAATTAGGCTCTTAATTTTAAGTATTTCATATTTTAATCATATTATTTATTTTGGTCATTAAAATCAACTTATATGTCTTTTAATTTGGTATTTCAATTTTAATTTTATATTCTCGCCACTGATTATACATGTTTATATATATATATATATTTATATTTATATTTATATTTAGGGTTAAGGTTAAATTACATTTTTAATGTTTATATTATATTAATATTTCGAATTATAGTTTTAAGTTTTAATATTTTACATTTTAATCTCGTATTAATATTTATGGCTAAAATATATTATTAGTAATTATATTTTTATAAATGATTCGAATTATGTCCATTAATTTAGATAATTTATATTTTAATACTATAAGTTTTTAATTCATTTTATTTTGGTCATTTTATTGCAATTTTATTCTATTTTTATTACCTTTTTGCTTTTGATATGTTTAAATTATTACTTTAATTATTATTTTATTATTATTTTCATATTAGTCATATAAATATATATATTTACTTCATTATTTTTAGGAAAATTATTATATTCTTATTAATATTTATTTATTTATTAATATAAATGAAAAGACATTCTTAAAGCAACTAGATGTCTTTTTCTGATATTTTTAAATAAATAAATATCCTACTTTTATAAATTATATATATTAATTTAATTTATTTTTTTTTATTTTTAGAGAAATGTTTTATTAATATTTATTTATTTTTTAATATTAAGAAAGGGGCTGTCTTAAAGCAACTAGAAGTCATTTTCTGATATTTCTATGTAAATAAATATTTTATTTATAAAAATATAAAAAAATATATATTTATAAAAATTAATATATTTTCTTGGAATTATACTAATAAATTTGAAATCACAGGATTATGAATTAAATATAATTTTGAATTCTTAAATTTCCAATAATAGAGATAATTTATAATTAATGGGTACCAATTTTGGGCGTTATAGGGGTATTAATCATTCCCTAAACGTAACCGACCACGAATCATTTTTATTAAATTTTTTTGGTTATACGCAGATTAGTTTATCTTTTAAATTATGTTTTCTTAAAAACTATTTTAAAAGATTGTTTTTAGGTATTTGACCTACCTAACCCAAAAGGCCGATGGCGACTCCTAAGACATTTCAATAAAAACTATTTATCCACATTACTTTTCCTGTCGAGTAAAATTTCGTACCCAGATGAAAACCGGTTACGACAGCTTGGCGACTCCATTGGGGACTGGTCAAACCTAAGTCGATTATATATTGTCTTTATAGTTAGAAATTGAGAATTCAATTTTATTTAATTTATGATTCTTTTTTCTTTCAATTTATTTTATACTCTTGTATATTTAATTTTATTTTTAGATATTAATTTCTGTGTGAAAATTTCTTCTCACACACAACACCTGCATTACATAACATAAGCTCTATA